CGTATCTCCCGTTCAATAGCCCTACCAATCAGGATTGTACGCTGCCTACATGTGCGTGGCTCGGTCAGCAAAAGCGGCATACCGATGGGCATTTTGGCCAAGCAGCCAAGCAAAGTAAGGCTCTCACGGGTCCAAGTAGATCTATCCCAATTCGGTGGCTCAGCCTCAGGGCTTTCCCAACTCAATACCGAAGTGTCGAAATGTAAAGTTGCTGGCTGTGTCAAAGACAATCATTCGCCATACCCGCAAACTTTTGCAGTCGCTGTTGCGTGCATTTGTTTTCCGTCCGGTACAAGCATATTGATCATAATCTTGGCACGCGACAGACATCAGACCAACCATCTGATGTGGGACCAGCATTAGGTATTCGTACTGGCAATCCAACAATACTGTCCTTCCTTTTTCTCCCCTCTTCTCGGCGAATCAACAAATTTCAAGTCTTGCTGTCAAATCGTCTGGATAGAACCTTCCTAGCTATCGAACACGTTCATACCTACTCCTCACAATGTCGAAACAACTCCCACTCACCACATCCGTCGATGACGTTGATGCTCCCCCATCCTACGCAGAGACCGTATCCTTAGCCCCATCCGCCAACACCCTCACCAGTCTTCTGTCCAATCTCCCTGCCCAGGTCCGCCAAACCCAAAAGCACCTCGTCGACATCCACCGCGACCAAGACAATCTCATCCTCCATGCCATCCTCCCCCACGTCGAGACTTTCCTCTCTTCACCCGACATCGCCACAGCCCCAAGCAGAGTATCCGAGCTCATTCTGATCCCGGAATCTGCGGTACAGGATTCATGGAGCTTGACCGGCCTGGCGGAACGACAGAGCGAGGGGGACGTGGTGCGGGTTGCTCGTGTGAGGTTCGAGCGTAGCATTGGCGATGGCGAGAAGACGCAGTCGGGGGTCAGCAGCTGGGGGCACGGGAAGGGTTTCACGGAACCCTCCCACAACTGGTGGACGGACGAAGGACTGGCGAGACGACTGGCAGGATATCTACAACCCAAGGAAGTGGCAAAAATAGAGAGAAGAGATGTCAGGGCAGAGATAGAGCAAAAGAAGAAGGAAAAGGGGGGCCTCTTCGGGTTCGGCAGGAAGAGGTCTGAGCTGTCATCTACTCTCTCCAGTCCTCAATACAACAGCCAAATTGAGAAGAAGGACGATGGAGTCGTTGTCAGAGCAACAGCGGAGGAGGTTACGTTTCGAAAAGAGAACGATTTTGGTATCTGGGAGAGTATGAGCGGCTTTGGGATTATTGTTCGTGTTAGGGTGAGGAAAACGTTGAAAATGTAGGAACAATGTTCACTCGTGTTAGCCTAAGTCTAAGCTATACCGACCAACACGTGCTCCACAAACTTCTCGCAACGCACCATATAGTTTGATGCCATCTCCTGCGACTCCATGCCGAACAGGGCTGTGACTAGGTCCTCCTTTCCGATCGATACAATAGGGTCAACCAAACCGGATACCCTTGGCGGGATCCCAAGTCCCTGGTGCAGCGCCGTGTCCTTGCCCTTGCTGGCCACCAGTCTGCGGTGCCCCGGCCACCGAGGATGAAGGCGCGGGCTGTGCAAACTTAATGCCCATGGTCGGCGACCATACAGGAGGAGCCAGAGGCATCGGCTTTGGCTGCTGCGGTTCCAGGTTGTCTGCCCAGGACTGTATGCGTGCCTCCACCGGACTGTGAACAGGTTGTTTTCTTGCTGGTTGAGCCTGTGACTGTGGATTGTAGAAAGGGTTGGGACTCCCATAGCCGGCTGTCGGTTGCTGACCATGGTATTGTTGCTCTGGCCGAGGTTGCTGACGGCTGCTGTTCATGGATAGTTGCGACAATGGCGGCATGGTGATCTCGCTGGAAGTTTGTTAGTAGATCGACCATCTAACGAGGGAACAGGAACAAGTGGACTTACTCCTCCAAGCTTCTCGCATCCCTCCGTCTCTCATTGACCCAAGCGACAGCATTGTCCTTGAACTGACCAACAATCCTCCCAAGATCATTATAGAATTTCCTTCCCACGTCCACATTGTTGACGATCTCCTTATACTTGTAGTACGCGTTATCCAGCTTCTGTAGTGCCGCTTCCCTCTCCTTGCCGCCTTTATCGCCCATGCGTCGCTTCTGCGCCTCGAACTCTTGATTCGCGCGTTGAACTTCCGCTAGAACACGATCCTGCTCGGCAGCCTCCTTTCGAAGCAACTCGAGGTCCACCTCGTAGGTGCCATCGAGTCTCTTCTCGAAGAAGTCTTCGAAATGAGTGGTGGAGATTGCTGTATTTGGGTATGCTCTTTCGAGCCTGTTAGCCTCGGCCAGGATATCACTTTTGATATCGTCCATCTTCGCCTTCTCTCTCAAGGCTTCAGCACGCTTCCTACGCCGTGACTCCAATCTCAAGACATCGTTGTAAGCGCTGCGAAGCTTTCCAATAGCCGGACGCATGGTCTCTGGGATCTCGGTCCGCCGACTGCTCGGCACGTAGTCTAAGAGTCCTCGATCTGGGCCGGACAAGAGGTCAAGAAGGTCCTGAACGGCCTTGAATTTATCCAGCACAACTGCATCGCTGGACGTGCTGCTGGCAAAATAGCCTTCGATCTCGGCTGCTTGGTTCCAAAGCTTGGCACCGCCGTTCGGTGCTGGGTCCGCACGACTTTCCGGGCGAGTCCACCTTGCCGTGCCGTATTTCCTCCGCAGCGTATTATCTTCTTCCTCCTCGGCAGCAAGTAAAGCCTTGCCTTCCTCAAACGTGGCACGGTCACTGTTACGGAGCCGCTCAATATCGGCAAATCCACGATGGAGCCGGTTCAGCGCGTCACTCTGGCGAATCTCCTCGGCGTGCTGGATGAGAGTGGGGGGAAGCCCTAGGGGCTTTTCCAGGGCTTGAAGGGAGCCAGGCAGGTTGAGACTGGCCAGGATCCTATGCAGTTCATCCGTCATATTCTCCAGCGGTGCTATAATGCTGTTGCTGATCAGCCGATCCCGTCTTTCCTCGTAGACGCTGACTGCAAGATGAACCGCGAACGGCACTAATTTCTGGAACAGTGCTGGGCCGAGCTCCTTGTGGTCGCCCAGATAATCGTAGGGACTCGCAACTTGTGGCGGCACCTTGGCCAAGGCCATGTTCGCCCTATCCAGTATCTTCAACTCCGACTTGGGCGGTACCGTGTTCAGGTATATGACGTCGTTGTCCTTCTCTGCTCGCTTGAGGTCTTCCTCAACCTTCTTCTTCAGCCCGTTCAGGTCGTCGATGACTGCCTTGTTGATGTAGGTTCCACGTGTTTCCTTCAGGCCTTCATTCACACAGTTCAGAGCGTCAGTCAGCCGTGCAATCTCCTCGCCGTATCTCCTCTTCTCCAAGCAGTCGCATGCTGCGCGGTACTGAGCAGCAGCAGCGAAATGATGGTGCTTTGCACTCATATGGTGTATCCAGGCTGAACTGATGGCCTCACTCTTCATTGCTGCTTCGCTTGCCAGGCTGTACAAGTCTGATACTCTTGCTGCAAGCTTGGCGATGGAGCCGTCCTTGTACCCATCCATGACTGCCTTCTGCCAAAAACACTCCTGGCTTTGCGCTAGACAGAGCTGCATCAAGGCTTCCAGAGTCGCCTCGTCCATGTCTTCGGGCGCGTTATCCATATGAAAGTCCGGGAGTATTGTTGTCTTCATGTAGTGGAGCACTCCTGCAGCTTGCGAGAAGTACGAAGCTGCCGTCTTGAGACCCTCAGTCGCGCCCCGATTCGACGACATGGCGAGCTGGGAGTAGAGGGCAGCAAGGTTGTAGAGGATGTTGAGGAGTTCGTATTTGAGGTTGTTCGCTACGTGTGGTCGTTCCGTGTTATAGCCCAGGGCGGGATACCATGTGAACTCGGTTCCTATCTGCCGTGTAAGTCCTGTGTCAGTGCTGCCTCGGGCTTGTTGCAGAGGGAAAGGGGCCGTCTACATCATTGGGAAACTTTCCGCTGATCCACACTAGCTGGCCAGCGTATGTCTGTAGCTTCTTGATGCCGCTCTGGTGCGCCTCTCTGACGTTGATCGCATCACGCCGTAGGCTGTCAATGACCTCCAAATCATGGCGGAACATGTCTGGGTGTTGATCGTACTTTGCCGCAATGTACTGGCGTATGCTGGCCGACAGGGCTATCTGCGTCGACTTCCTGAACGGAAGCGACAGAATATTTGACGTACTCATGGCGGTACCTGGTGTCGGGCGTTCCTTGTAGAACAGCCACAATGTTCAGTTTGACACTGTCGCAATGTTTGTTTTGGGCAATGACTTCATTGTTCAACAACGAACCGCTGCATAGCCTAAAGTGGAGGCACCACGGCATCGGGAGGTAAGTGGGGCCGGGTGACATCCCATCCCGTCCCTGGGACGAACGGTAGGAAATCGGGCTGTTGTTTCTCAAGCTTCAAAGCTTCTTAATTTCTCAACACTTATAAGACCATGCTCTTTCAAGCTTCCTCAGAAGACATTGTTTCGACCCTTCTGCTGTTCTCATGCATCCTACCGCCTCGTCGAAAGTGCCCCCTACTACCAGTACTTCATCTAGTATGGTCCAGTTACAAGGTCATTCTTCCTCTCCGTCCACGTATCATGTCCCGCCAGATCTGGGCATAGCACATTGAGATGTGCTACAAGAAATTGCGTATAGGGTTGTCCACCATCGTTGCCAACTGATAATGCTTTACAGCTTGTAATTATTTCCCGTATATGTAATGTGTAGTACTTGTATGCGAGCCTGTCGTCATTTTGGTAATATTACATCGCTCGACATCAAAGTGTCCTTTGTCCCTTACAAGTTTTTATCCCTTTGAATGCTGAATTCCCTCCCTAAAACTGCACGTCCCAACAGCTGGTCTGTTCCCAAGATCTCACTGGTCCAAACTTTTAGGGAGGGAATTCAGCATTCAAAGGGATTATGTACGGTCAACTTTGAGTCGAAGTCCACCGAGGTATCCAGATATGCTGAGCAACGTTTATGCAAAAAGTAGTCGAATGGGCGAGTAGTCTAGGGGTTATGATTTCTGCTTTGCATCCTTGTTAGGATTACTGCAGAGGGTCCCGCGTTCAAATCGCGGCTCGTCCAGGTTTACCTTTTGTACCATTTTGCTGGTCCAGCGAATGTGCTCCCTGCTGCCCCTTCACTTCAATCATGATCTGTCAACATTTTGTCGTTATTGAACAAGCCTCGGAGTCAGTTGTTTTGAAGCCAACTGCTGTGGCGGCGAGTCCGCGATGACTAATTGAGGTAGATTTATACGAATACCTGCACGCATTGAGGTGGCGAAACCCCTCCAAACCACCGTTACCACCGTGTGCGTAGTAGTTCATTAAGGTACCTATGTTAATTAAGCTTGCCACCAAGAAGTTGCAGGCTAAGTGAGATGACCGAACCTTTGCCCGTCCGCGAGCGTGCCCTAGATCTTGGACAAGCTAGTTCTGGTGAGAGCAGCTCATCACCGGAGCTAGTGGACTTGTCACGAGTGGAATGGTCACAGATCCCAACGCCCCCGGGGGAGCATACGTCAACCTCGAATAGCACCACAGAGCCAAGGTCCAGCCCATCCACGGTGCTTACGCCGACTGAGAAACTGGAATTAGCCAACGGCACTCCCAAACCTCTGACTGACAGTGACCGCGTCCTCCAAGACGGCAGTCTGATTCGCAAATCCAAGCGTCTCGCCCGCCAACAGAAAAAGGCTGCCGTCAAAGCCTCCAAGAAGCCCTCCCATCCGCGGAACACTCTCTTGGACCTCCCGTACGAGCTCGTGACATCCATCCTCCACCTCCTCCTGCCTGCCGATCTCATCCGTCTCTCGCGCGTCTGTCGGTCCCTGCACTCCTTCATCACCCAGGAATCCAATACTCTGGCCAGATGGGTGATCAAGGAGCGGTACCCGGTGTTGGAGAAATGTCTCCGGTTACCCGTGCTGTTGGCCGCGTTGGGGGATGAGGAGAGAACGGCGCTACAGCGGGAGGAGAGGTTGAGACTCCTGCGGAAACAGGCCTACAGCCACATCCAATCCGCTGATCCGGCGGTATTATGCACCTGTCTGACCTGCGTCCTCCGCTGGAACAGCCTCAACCTCGTCCTGGACTTCGCCCACTGGCAGGGCCATCTCAACCGCGGGGATCCCATACCCATGATCCCGCGTGGCCAGAACCCGGAGTGGAACCAGAACCTGCTCGCTAAACACGCGGCCGTCGTGCAGAGGGCCACGACGACTCCGCTCCTCTACGCCTGTATCCTCCAGACGCACCTGGCATCGACTGTGGGCTCCATCCGGCGACACGCCCAGAACAAAGGCAATCAGAGACGGAGGTTCAGGATGAACGCGGAGGACGAACGCAGCGGTACGGATGGGTTTTTGAGCAGGAGTGGCCCACCGACGGTGGATTTCCCGTTTCATAGGGACAATTACTACATGTTGGAGAGTTACCTGCCGAACAGGGGGTGGAACGGGGAAGAGGCAAGGTGGATGTATATGCCGGCAAGTCAACATGATACGGATGTTGGGATGGTGGTGCGGTTTTACAGACGGAGAATGGAGGAGGAGGAGAGGGAGAGACTGGAAAAAGAGAGGCAACGCCTTGAGCAGGAGGGCACATCGGATGGAGTGACTGAGAACGCGGAGAGGGATGAGTAGGAGAACGTTGACACACACACCTGAAGGCGCGGGGGCTCAAGGAGTCAGAAGACGGTGAAACCCGATTGCGGGAGGCGATTCCTGACCCTAGTTGAAGCTAGCAACCGTGTATTCAGACAATCGCGGAAGTCTCAAACGAGGGTATGATTAGTAACGAACGTACGGTCACGTCTAGATAAAACAGGTTAGATCTTTCAGGCAGTTCCAGTTCCGTCTATGAACTTTCAAAAGGATTGATTTCTGTGCGGCTAGACATCGCCGCATTCTCCTTCATGCAGACTCCGTCCCAGTTGAGCCAGGCTACCATGCCTTCCAGGCTCATTGTGGCTATGATGCTTTCCTTCACAAACCAATATTCCTTCCTTCTCAATAACTCCGAACCCCAGAAATGAACCTGATAAGGCAAGGACGAAGAACAAGATGATAAGTCTATCAGCAACAAAGGAAAAAAAAGAAACAAATTCCGACAATGCAATCCGGTATCCTCCCAGGTCTATATGTACAGACAGAATGACACATTCGTTTCGTGCCGATGCGCAGCCAATGCATGACTCGGATAATGGGGGGGATTGAAGTGGTAGAGACCGACTTGGTGAGAGAGATTACCGATTACAGTGATGTCGTTGGGTGACTGCGATGCCGGTCGCAGGAGTGATGAAGGAAAAGGATCCCTTATGAGGCACCCAATGCAGAACGCCGGGCTCGATGCTAAGAAGATGAAAAGGAAAAACGGCAAAGTTGTAGAAAGGTTGTTCGTGACGTCTCGTTGGACGTAAGAGGTGAGTCGCCAGACCAGCGGCAGTGACCGTCCAGGCCAACGGGACCCTAGCTCTAAGCGATCCACACAAGCTCCATGATGCCGTCCATCTTCGTCATGGGCTGTTTGTTGGGAAGCGTCCACCTCTCATCAGTATGCTTCCTGACATAGATTTGTGTCACACTGCCATCCGGATTGACGGTGGCCTCCTGAAGGTCCCATGATATCTTGCGCCCGGTCTTAGCGAGCGAAGGCCGCTGAGGACCGAACATGAAGTCCAGGTTCCAGCCCTTGTCCTCGGGCAAGGGGCGGAACGTCCGCTCGAGTTGCTGCAGGTTGAAATCAATCCCCTTAGGATAGAAAGCAACCGAGAACCCGTTGGAGATGATGAAGTCGTCTCTCGTCTGGAAGCGCTGGAGGGTGCAGTCTTCACCGCAGAGGTGGGCAATCTTGGTGTAATGCCAAGGTAAGGCATCATGCCAGCCGCCACCACGATAGTGGTGCAACGAGTAGGGCTTGTACCCAGACTCATAGAATCCGGAGGGATCTCCATGAAGATCCAGCTGCCACAGGTCCCAGAGGGTCGTGAGTTTGATGTCGGAATTCTCGTAAATGCACTTGCGAAGCAAGATATCGCCCTGTGGGCCCCATCCCGAGTTCGACTCCCGGATCTTTTCCTCCGTCTTGCAGCTGTCGTACTTCTCGGTAATCATCTTGGCCAGTGGAGCGCTGAGGAAGACGCCGCCTCCACCGAATGCCTGCGCGCCATGACGGGCGATGTTGTTGACATCCTCCGAAAGAGTACCAATGTACATGGGCATCGTGTGGTCGTACTCTTCAAACTTCTCGGCCAGGGCGTTGAAAGACGGGAAGAAGGTGTCATCATCACAGGTGACAATCCACTTGCGTCCAGCTCTGTCCGGGTGGTTGTAGAGAGTGGGCACCAGGGTCAGGTAGCGCACGGCCATTTCCATCTTCGAGTCAGACTGGTAGACATCCACGTCGATCCCAGCCGCGTTAAGCAGAGTCCAGGCATCCAGAATGTCCTCCTTGCTGGCATCCAGCAGCAGGAGGATGAGCTTTCCGCCGTTGGATTTGCCCTTCCCATCCGTGAGCCAGTACGTCCACTCGTTGATAGAGCTTGTCTTCGGATCCTTGAACCGCTTGTAGGTCGTTGAAACACCGAAGATGAAGTCGGAGGCATTTGCACTGCTGGGATAGGGAGACTTTGTCACTGGAACCACCAGAGGCTCGTCACAAGTTTGCTCCCGGTAGCGGGGAGTCTGGTCGGTGACGTCGACAACCTGAACCTTCTGCGGCATGAAGTCCTGGTTCAGCTTGGTGACAGACTTGCGCTTGATGTCTTGCCTGCTGATCTTGACATAGCGCTTGGTGTACTCAAATTGGGGGTCGAGGCCGAACTTGTCTTGTAGTATTAACAGCTTTTCCATATCCTGATCGCAAGTCATGTTGTATGCCGTGGAAGAATTGGTATAGGTTGTGGTTGGATAGACTGGGCCATGATGGTCCTCCACTTTCGCATACTCTGGTTTGGTCCCATCTGAGACTTTGCTCTCGACCCCGTCCAGTGGTAGTTGTGAAGACATGGACTGTTTGGCTGCAGTCGCTCCTTTCCGTATGGCATTTCTCACACCAGTTGAGTCGGTGCGGATCATGGTTCCCACCAGGAACAACACGACAACTGAGAGAAGAAGCGCTCTAACAAAGGAGCTCCGCACGCTGAACCAGCGATGCGGTGGAGGTAAAGAGGGCATCTTGGCAGTCATGTCTGCCGAACGAGCCTGTAACGTCGTCCAGCTTATCCCGTTGGCGTGGGTGAACGTCGTTTGGATCCTGTCCGATATATCCAGCTATCCACAAGACAACAGAACAGGATGTTCTTATTCGTCTCTGTTCATGTGTGCAATCGAGATTTCGGTAGATCGAGGCTCTTGTCAATGGGTGGCCGATCTAAACGAATGTAGTGCGATGCTGTAAGGAGTACCACGGAGAAGCGAACGTAGGTGGATTCGGGTGTGTGTGCAGTGATACCGTCGAGGTAGTTGGCCACTGCACTGACAAGCTTAAACAGAACGAAGCGAGGGACAACAAACGCGCAACATGCGAAAAGCAAAGTGCGTCTTGACAGAGAGAATGATCAAAAGAAAGGAGAGGAAATCCTTGGGGGCGCAGGCTGCAGGAGGGTGGGAGGTTTATTGGAAGGGGAATAGAAGATAGCGGCATATGCAATTTCAGTGGTACTGGTTCAGTAACAGGGCCCTTCCAACGCCCCTGTAACTCTCCCGAACGGATGGGGCCAGTGGAGCCGGTTACCCACAAACATGCGGGTCGGGTGGCAGTTGGCAATCGGAGCGACTTGGCAGAACAAGAATTTCCCCTGAGAATCACTTCCCTTTCGTTTCCACCGAACCCACATTCTGGAGCTCTTAATGAGTCTCGAGTGTGAATCAATGTCTGATGCACTTGTTGATTTCCCTCGAGGTAATTACACAACAGGAGTACAATTCCGAGCCGGGACTTGAGGGACTACACGTGTACAGGTCAATACTGCACTACTTCTTGCGAATCCATATCACAGTGTTGCATTTCCTCGGTGACCCAATGACTGTGGCTGCACTGCCCATGAAAAGGAGAAGCCGCGTTTGACCCTGTGCGCAGGTA